AACCACATGATTATCTCAATTGACGCAGAGAAGGCATTTGACAAAATTCAACAGCCCTTTATGCTAGAAACCCTCAATAAACTCGGTATCGATGGAACGTATCTCAAAGTAATAAAAACTATTTATGAGAAACCAACAGCCAATATCATACTGAATGGGCAAAATCTGGAAGCATTCCCTTTGAAATCTGGCACTAGACAAGGATGCCCTCTTTCACCACTCCTATTCAATGTAGTACTGGAAGTTCTAGCCAGAGCAATCAGGCAAGAAAAAGAAATAAAGGGTATTCAAATAGGAAAGGTGGAAGCCAAATTGTCTCTATTTGTAGATGACATGATAGTATACTTAGAAGACCCCATCGCCTCAGCCCAAAAACTCCTGAAACTCATAAGCAACTTCAGCAACACCTCAGGATATAAAATCAATGTGCAAAAGTCACAAGCATTCGTCTACACCAATAACAGACTTAAAGAAAGCCAAATCAAGAACGAACTGCCATTCACAATTGCTACAAAAAGAATAAAATACCTTGGAATACAACTCACAAGGAACGTAAGGGACCTCTTCAAGGAGAACTACAAACCACTGCTCAATGAAATCAGAGAGGACACAAACAGATGGAGAAACATTCCATGTTCATGGTTAGGAAGAATTAATATCGTGAAAATGGCTATACTGCCCAAAGTGATTTACAGAATCAACGCTATCCCCATCAAGCTACCATTGACTTTCTTCACAGAACTGGAAAAAACCACCGTGAACTTCATATGGAACCAAAAGAGAGCCCGCATAGCCAAGTCAATTCTAAGCAAAAAGAACACAGCGGAGGGCATCACACTACCGGATTTCAAACTATACTACAAGGCTACAGTAATCAAAACAGCATGGTACTGGTACCAAAACAGAGATATAGACCACTGGAACAAAACAGAGGCACCAGAGGCAACACAACCTGTCTACAACTATACAATCTTTGATAAACCTGACAAAAACAAGCAATGGGGAAAGGATTCCCTGTTTAACAAATGGTGTTGGGAAAACTCGCTGGCCACGTGCAGAAAGCAGAAACTGGACCCCTTCCTGACACCTTACACTAAAATTAACTCCAGATGGATTAAAGACGTAAACATAAGACCTGGCACGATAAAAACCCTAGAAGGAAATCTAGGCAAAACTATCCAGGACATAGGAATAGGCAAGGACTTCATGAACAAAACACCAAAAGCATTGGCAACAAAAGCCAAAATAGACAAATGGGACCTAATCAAACTCCACAGCTTCTGCACAGCAAAAGAAACAGTCACTAGAGTGGATCGGCAACCAACAGAATGGGAAAAAATTTTTGCGGTTTACCCATCTGACAAAGGGCTGATATTCAGAATTTACAAAGAACTCAAACAGATTTACAGGAAAAAAACAAACAAGCCCATTCAAAAGTGGGCAAAGGATATGAACAGACCCTTTACGAAAGAAGACATATATGAGGCCAACAGTCATATGAAAAAATGCTCATCATCACTGTTCATCAGGAGATGCAAATCAAAACCACATTGAGATACCATCTCACGCCAGTTAGAATGGCGATCATTAAAAAATCTGGAGACAACAGATGCTGGAGAGGATGTGGAGAAAAAGGAACACTTTTACACTGTTGGTGGGAGTGTAAATTAGTTCAAACATTGTGGAAGACAGTGTGGTGATTCCTCAAGGCCTTAGAAATAGCAATTCCATTTGACCCAGGAATCCCATTACTGGGTATATATCCAAAGGACTATAAATCCTTCTACTGTAAGGACACATGTATACGAATGTTCATTGCAGCACTGTTTACAATAGCAAAGACCTGGAATCAACCCAAATGCCCATTGATGATAGACTGGATTGGAGAAATGTGGCACATATACACCATGGAATATTATGCAACAATCAGAAATGATGAGTTTGTGTCGTTTGTAGGGACATGGATGAATCTGGAGAACATCATCCTCAGCAAACTGACACAAGAACAGAAAATGAAACACCGCATATTCTCACTCATAGGCGGGTGTTGAAAAATAAGAACACATGGACACAGGGAGGGGAGTACTAAACACTGGGGTCTATTGGGTGGAAAAGGGGAGGGCCAGTGGGAGGGGGAGGTGGGGAGGGATAGCCTGGGGAGAAATGCCAAATGTGGGTGAAGGGGAGAAAGGAAGCAAAACACACTGCCATGTGTGTACCTACGCAACTGTCTTGCATGTTCTGCTCATGTACCCCAAAACCTAAAATGCAATAAAAAATTTAAAAAAAAAAAAAAAAAGAAAACCACATCTGATTCTATTCCAGTAAATGGCTGAATGAAACACCACTGTACCTATAATTTCGGTATAGGTAATGTAGTGTTCCATTTTATGAAGGTAAATGGTAACCTCTAATGTCTCTCCCAGCTCTAAAATGACGAACATCTGCCTACTGTCATTTAGAAATATTAATAGAAAAATAACTTGGGATTCAGCATTTACATTTCTGTATTGTATAACCTATTTTACACATTGTATATTTTTATAAGTTACAGTTAAGAATTCAGTTTATTACTTCGGAAACTTGGCATGTTTTAAAAGAATCTGAAAGCCCTGTATTCCTATTATAAACCAACTAACTAGACACTTTAGCTATGATCATTAAGGTAACTAAGATTACAGGTTTTGAAAACCTAATCATTATTCAAGAAGATTTTTACTGAAATTAAACAGGTAGAACATTAACATTCTTTTACTAATAACTTCGTTATGAATAATGAACTAAAGTGTTGTTTAATTTACATCTCCCATAAAGAAAAATAGGAGATCTCGCTCCACCTAAATACCTAAACTCTGTAAGTCTTTAAAAATTAGGGAGGCTGAGGCAGGAGAATTGCCTGAACCCAGGAGGCGGAGGTTTCAGTGAGCCGAGATCGCGCCATTGCACTCCAGCCTGGTAACAAGAGCAAAACTCCATCTCAAAAAAAAAAAAAAAGTAGTTACAAGAGGCCGGGCATGGTGCTCACGCTTGTAATCCCAGCACTCTGGGAGGCCAAGGGGGGCAGATCACGAGGTCAGGAGATTGAGACCATCCTGGCTAACACAGTGAAATCCCGTGTCTACTAAAAAAAGTATACACACACACACACACACACACACACACACACAAACCAAGCGTGGTGGCACTTGCCTTCGGGAGGCTGAGGCAGGAGACTGGCCTGAACCAGGGAGGCAGAGGTTGCAGTGAGCCGTCATCACACCACAGCACTCCAGCCTGGGCGACAGAGTGAGACTCCGTCTCAAAAACAAAACAAATCAACAAAAACCATCCTGGCTAACACGGTGAAACCAACCAAACAAGAAATTAGTTACAAGAGAAACGGCATTAGCAACCAAACAAGAAATTAGTTACAAGAGAAACGGCATTAGCAATTGCATTAGGTGACTTACCGTGCTACCTGCCAGGAGCTGTGCAGGGATGCAGCATTCTAGCTGGAGTGGAAGTAGAGGAGACAGTAATGACAGGTTAAATCAGTGTCCTGCCTGTGTTTTGGAAAAATGAAAGCAGAGTGAGAGGGAAATTGTGCTGGCTGACCAGGGAGCAGGAATCAATGAGAATACAATCTCTTTACTTAAAAAGAAAAACATTCATATAGAGATGGAGTTGCTACATCGTCCAGGCTGGCCTTAAGTACCGCCTGGGCCTCCGAGAGCCCTGGGGTTGCAGGCGCGCGCCCCGGCCCGAAAGAACCCAGTCCCACGCTTACCCCGAGAGCCTGGTCAGCGTTCAGCTGGCGGCGGCAGGGTCTGCTAAGGCTCCCCGAGGCCTCCTCCGCCTCAGCCCCGCGCCCCGCCCCAGCGCGTTCTGTTCCAGGGAACCCGCGCCCCTGAGCACCGCGACCCCCATCCCCGAGCCGTGACGCCCCTCGATCCCCCAGTCCCGCGCCGCGATGCCCCGCGATCCCCCAGCCCCGCGCCGTGACCCCCCGCCCCGCTCCGCCCGCGATCCCCGCGCCCCGCGCCTTAAGTTGGACCAGGCGAAGTTTAGGGCGAACTGGAAGTTGGGGTCTGTCTCATTCTGGAGGCCGGCGACACTCCAGACGAGTTCCGGCAAGTTGCGCTTCTGCTGCATGTCCAGCAGGCTCCAAAGCTGCCCATGCCGCGCCATGCTCCGCGCTCCTGCAGCGCGCCTCTGGCGGCGGTTTCCGCGACAGTTTGGGCTCCCGCGACAGTCGGGCGATCTCGGAGGCTGTGCCGCCGGGGGTGGGGGGCTCAGTCCTGGCCCCGCAGCCCTGGCCGGCGCAGGTTCCGAGGGCTACCCGGACCCCACGGAGGCCGCAGGGCGGACGTGGGCGCATGGGGTTCCTCACCTGAGTCCACGGCGGCTTGAAAGTCTAGGCGAGGCCCGGGAGTTTCCTTGGCCGAGTGAGTCAGGCGAGCAGAAAATGCGCCAGGAAACGTTCGGTGTTCTGGGGTGGGGGCTCTCCGGGACTGGCCTCTTCCTCCGGGCTTGGCCTCTTCCTTCCGGCGCTCCTCCCTCCGGGCCGTGGCCCCGCCCCGCTCTGGCCTCTGCTGCTCCCTCCTTCCGCGGGGCTTACCCCTGGGTGACCGCCGCCACAGTCGCCACCACCGCCATTTCAATCAGCAAAACAGGCCCCAGATGATCTGCCGTACTGATACCCTTTGGCCTCAAGTTCTTCTGGTTTCTTTTTTAGGTACTTGGAGAGACGATAAAGGGAGAAGGAAATGTCAGAGAAAAGATCAATGTCACTGGGGAAAGCCATGGCCTGAGTCCTGGCTCTGACAGACCACTTCTAGCCTCCAAGTGGTACTGAGGCTAAAAGCACTGTGCTCCTCTGGCCTCCCTGTTGACCCCAGTGAGTACTTCACACTGAAGCAGAAAGATGCCTGCCCAAAACACTCTCACTTTCCCTCCAGTGACTGGGAGGCCTGGGAAGCAGGCCCTGGGTCCTGCTACAGTTCCATGGTAAGGACCTGGCATCTAAAGGCATGTAAAGGCATCTAAAAGCAAGGCAAGGCATCTAAAGGCATGTAAAGGCGTCTAAAGACAAGGCAAGGCACGGCATCTACAGGCATGTGAAGGCATCTAAAGGCAAGGCAAGGCAAGACAAAGCATCTAAATGCATGTAAAGGCATGTAATGGCAAGGCAAGGCATCTAAAGGCATGTAAAGGCATCTAAAGGCAAGGCAAGGCAAGGCACAGCATCTAAGGCATCTAAAGGCATGTAATGGCAAGGCAAGGCCAGGCAATGCAAGGCATCTAAAGGCATGTAAAGGCATCTAAAGCCAAGGCAAGGTAAGGCAAGATGAGGCATGTAAAGGCATCTAAAGGCAAGGCTAGGCAAGGCAAGAAAAGGCATCTAAAGGCATGCAAAGAAATCTAAAGTCAAGTCCAGGCAAGTCAAGTCAAAGTCAAGTCAAGTCACGTCAAGTCAAAAGTCAAGTCAACTCAAGGCAGGGCAGGGCAAGGCAAAGGTAAAGGCAAAAAGGCAAAGGCAAAGGTAAAGGCAAAAAGGCAAGGCCCATCCAGTCAAGTCAAGGCAAGGCAAGTCCAGGCAAGTAAAATCCAGGAAAGTCAAGTCAAGTCCAGGCAAGGCATGTCCAGTCCAGGCAAGGTAAGTCCAGTCCAGTGGAGTCAAGTCCAATCCAGTCAAGTCCAGTACAGGCAAGGCAAGTCCATGCAAGTCTGGGCAAGTGACCAATGTAATTTTATTTGAATTAGTCTGGCTGAATTATGTATTGAAGCATTGAAGTTCATTATATGTTTACATTTTTAAATAATATTTTTAGGCGTTGTTGTATTTTTTCTACCTCAAAGGTACTACAATGTTTTAAAATTCTACAATTTAACTAAAACCCCATATTCATATTTTTTTCATGCAAAGCTGCTGGAACAGCTAAATTCTGGTAGGTATTGAAAATATAATCTCAGATCTATTCTGTGGTTAAGAGCTTTCACTCAAGCCCATTTCAAAGGGGAAATCTTCTCAATCACAGAAAAGTAACAGTTTTTAAAAAATCATTAAACATTCAAACCTTTCCAATTCGAACTGATGTTAAAGAAAGACACGTTTTAACCTTTTGAGTTCAAAGGCCCCTGTGACAACATCTCTTTGCCTCATATGGTTTTGGCTATGGTGTGAGACCAACCGTGTTTTCTGAAATTTAAGCATTTTTCAATAAGAACCTGATATGGCCTGATTGAGCTGTAAAATACTTGTTAGGCCTGTCCCCAAACACCAGACAATAAAGGAGGTCTGCTAAACACAGAGGGCCTTGAATCCATCCAATAGAACATGCCTCTATGGGGGCCTTCAGGGACTCTGGTTTAATGAATAAAGAGGAATGATTTATAATTAGCCTGGCAATTGTGCTGAATGGGTGTTTGCAACAGGATTGAAATGTGTGCCTAAACTAAGTTTGAAGTTGCATATAATTCTAATTACATTTTTTGGGTTTCTTTTTTTCCTGCTTGGAAAACTGTTTTCTATAGACAAAAAAAGCAGGGTGGAAAATGGCTGTTTCTTAAGAATGATACCGGCATTATAGCATTCATCACTTTCTGTTAGCCTCACAGAATGTCTGAGAAGTAGATTCTAAATTCCAAATGGGTGAGGCTTATAAATAAGGTTTCTACTTCCTCTAGAAAAATGACAGCATTCTCTAGCAACTCTACCTGCCCCATAGGGATGTGCTAGCCCATAGTAAGTGCTACTCAAGTGTTCAATTAGCAGACACACCTGGAATTTCAGCACTGTGAGTGTTCACCTGGGTTAGATAGCCCACTTGTCCCCAACCCTTGCAGCCCCTTGCTCTCCGATGGATGCGATCAAATGTTTTTATGATATTCTTACCACAACCTGTCCCAGTGCCCTTCACATCTTCCAAATGTACCAAGTAGGTTCTGAGAACCACCTCCAGAGAGCAGCGAAATTCAGTTCCCATTGCTTGGGTGCAGCTGTACCTGCTCATTGACATCCATGTCATCCCTCACTTAAAATCCTGCTGCACGTGCCCCAAGCCCCACTGAGAATGGCATGCAGATGCTTTGCCATGGCCTTCAGGCCCCTGCATAACAGCTTCTCTTTCTGCCTCCACCCTCCGTCTCTTGGTCTCCCCAGCACACCCACCCCTTCCCTGACCCAGGGCTGGGCTTGGTGATTGTTTCCTTGGCTCAGTTCATCCTTTCTTCCTGCCATGTGTCCCTTCTCATCCTTTAGCTCTCAGATTCAATGTCACCAAGTACCAGAGTCTTTCCCTACTACTTCAATAGGTGCTCCTCGCCTTAGGGTGTTTAACTTTGTCTATTTCCTGTTTCCCTTGCAGCATTTGTTACTATTTGCAGTTATGTAGTTATGTTTGTATACCTGTGTGTGTGTGTGTGTGTGTGTGTGTGTGTGTCTGTGTGTGTGTGTCCCCACTAGATCTTTCAGTAGGGGCAGAATCTTTATCTTATTTTTGTCCCTGGTTTATTTTTGTTACCTAGGATACATAACACACTGGCTAAACATTTGCTTAATGAATGAAAAGGAACCAACATGCAGACATTGCTGTAGAATAAGGAGATCAACCAGCACCAGAGAAAAAGTGTACTTTTCCTGGGAGTGATTGCTCTCCTCTTCATGGGCATAACTTCAAATCATTCCAAGTTGAGTTGTCACCTTTCTGCATCACTGCAGCCTCTGGCCACAATTATCTCTCCCTGGTATGGGAGCTCCATGGCCCTGACAGCTGCAATTTCTCCAATATGTGGGTTAGAGAGTTTCACCATCCAAGATGTAGCCCCTGTTTATTCTCAACTTCCTCCTTTCAGATCTGAAGAGCTCTGTGCCCAGCCACGGACTCAAAGGTCTTTTATTATCCTCTTCTCATAGTCAGATGGTCAGCCATGGAAAGCCACCTGATACCATGCTTGCCACTTATAATGCCTAAGGAAGGACACCTTAGGGAACTATTGAAACTTTTAACCAATCAGGATAAGAAAGAGGGGAGGCTTCCAGCACGGAGAAAGAGAAGATGGAGGAGGAGGAAGAGGAAGAGAAAATGGGAGGAGGGCCAGGGATTAGGAGGAAGAAGACAGCAGCTAGCACACCAAATGCTTTCTATGTGCAGTTTACCATGCCAGAAATTAACATACATATTTTGTGTGTGTTCCCTAATCCCTAGGGGTTAAGAGAAAACTGAGTCTAATAAAACTAAAGTGCCTGAAGTCACCCAGTTACTAAATCAGAGCTGAGATCAGATTTATTTAAGATAATATAATTTAAAAAAACATCAAATCCCTCCTGGCTGAGAAGCTAACACAATGGTTTGCATCTGTATCCTGTCCTCTTAGCTCTGCTTTTGTACACACAGCCTTTTATGTAGCACATATAATCCACCCTACAATTACAGAAGGCAGCCTCAGACACAAAGGTGCTGTGGAGCTTAAAGATGCCCAGTGGAGGAAATTGAGGCTGGGATTTGTTCTATGGCAACTTAGCCTCCCTATTCCACCAGGAAGCTAGCTGAAGAAATGATAATGATGAGTAATGATGATAATCCTTTGATTTAATCAATACTTACTATGTGCTAAGCCATAGAAATAGGGACTACTAGTATTGGTCCCATTTTACAACTGCAGAAACTGAGGAACATAAAATCACAAAGCTAGGAAGGCTTAGGACCTACTCAGTGTACCCATAGTGGGAGCCCCATGTCACTACCCCACAGTGCTTCAGGGGAGTTGTCAGAAGAAAGGCTCATGACACTGAAAATTGTGTGTTGTTGCCTAAATGCCTGGACATGGGGCCTTCAACCCATGATATCTGGGACCCAATGGTACCAGGCCAGGTGCAACTCCTGAAGCAAATGATCCGAAATCTGCCATCCTCTAGGACCCATCTCAGCTGCCACCTGTCCCTGGAATATTTTCCAGAGCCCCTGCTGGCTACATTTTTCTCATATTTCTCTGTCATCTCCTACTCCAGCCCACAATCTGGTGGTTTTCACTTTGATATGCCCTGCATACTCCATGACCCATATGGGTGCAAAAAAATAACTTCTGTGAAGTTGAGCTCAGGAAGGGATTCAGGCACAGAACCCACAGAGAGAGTGGCTGCCATTTTGCTACCCAGCCATGCAAAGTTGTTACCTTGTCACAATGCTGTCAGCTAGGAGCCTGAGCACCAATGGCTTAGTGAATACCATCTGTGCCCTTTAGTCCCAGGCTGTCTGTTTCTTCTCTAGAGCCATGTGATACAGGCTTTGCATCTGACCAAGCTAGTCTTGGACCCCACTCTGCCCTTCTTGGTTTATTGGCTTCAGACAGGTCATTTACCTTTTGATGCTCAGTTTCCTCATCGGCAAAGTGACCTAATGGCATGTGTCTCATAGGTGTTGTGAGGATGAGGTAAGACAGTGTATACAAAGCAGGAACACCTGCTGGCTCATAGGTCTCAGCTGTTGACATATTTGCCAATGGAGCAACACAATCACCTTGTCCCTAGGAAAATCTAATGGGCTGGGTGGCCACCCCATCACCAGGAAACCTGACCCAATGCACACAGAACTCCCTTCAAATCCTGTGGCCCACAGCAATGGCTGTCACCCACCTTGCCATCCCAGGACTCCTGCATTGTTCTGGCTTTGACTCTCAGGCCAGGAGTGAGGCTGCCTGCCCTGCCTTGGAAAGAGGCTGCTGCCAGCTCTGGGCTGCAGGATTTGGAAGAGGAGGTGGCCTGATTGATACACCCGCTGTGGCACCCGCCTTGGGGAAATTCCCAGGACTAAATTCCAGGCTGACATTTTTGTGATGGAGGGTTGGGAGTTGGAGCTGAACTGCTGAGCAAACCAGCCTGAGGGCAAGGAGGAGTTTGAACCCTATATTTTGACACCATCTCCAGCAGATTCATTCATTCATATCACAAGCCTTTCTCAAGCACCTACTATAGGCTGAATGCCAAGTATCCCCCAGTTCAGAAGGGAAGAAAGGCAGGTTAAGAAATAATTACAATCATGTAGACAGGTGGGAATGACTTAGCTAACAGGGTAGGGAGCAGGCAAGATGTTAGAAAGGGCTCCTGGAGGAGGCACCTCTGAGGTTGCATCAGTTCTTTGCTTGCACTACTTCCATGCATGACTGATTCAGGCACAGGGAATGAGGTGTGTTATGCTGTTATTGCATTGCTATAAACAAAAACCTGAGACTAGGTAATTTTACAGAGAAAAGAGGTTAAATTGGCTCACAGTTCTTCAGGCTGTGCAAGAAGCATGACACTGGCATCTGCTTGGCTTCTGGGGAGGCCTCAGGAAACTTACAATCATGGCAGAAAGTGAAGGGGGAGCTGGTATCTCACATGGCAGAGCAGGAACAAAGTGGGGGGATGGGTGTCACACTTAATCAACCAGATCTCAAGAGAACTCACTATCTTGAGGACAGCAGCAAGCCATGAGGGATCTGCCCCATGACCCAAACATCTTGCACCTGGCCCCATCTTCAACAGTGGAGATTACATCTCAACATGAGATTTGGCAGGACATTCAAACTATATCACAAAGAGAGTGAAAATCCTGATTGTTCCACCATCTTAACGATGGGAATTTTGCTTGGGATTGAGAATGAGGGCCTGGAGTC